CTAAACATATCTGAGCTATATTTAGATTTGTAATAAAACTCAAACATTCTGAATCCTAAAATAGCACAGATTTCAAACATTAGCAAGCTATTTTCAATTTTTATCCTCTGGGGAAACCTACATAAATTGCGAAAACAATGAAATAAAATAAATATCCTAACAGCAGAAATTTATGGAAAACAGGGCCAGTGGATGTTGGCAGCTCCTGGGCTATAGGGATTTGTGCCAGGATCCAGGGCTTTTTGGTATTTTAGTACAGCCTAGGCTGTGGGTGTGAGGAACATGAGGCTACACACTGTTAGTAGTACCACAGAACTGCACATTGTCAGCAAAACTGGTGGGAGTGGTGGATGCAGTAGCAGTAGGGGAAGTTGGAGTGTTGGTCATTAGAAGATGTCAAAAGTCAAAAAAAAAATTGTGAGATGACTGACAGGTAATTTCTTAGCATCAGTGCCAGATATGAAGGTGATGGGAAACACACTCCCAGAAACATAGACATATATTGGTACCTACACATGAGTGAGATGTCTGGTTCTGATGCAGACATTATCTTATCCTAAGATGAGTTTGCACTCATGCCTCATGAAAACCTTCTCCCAAGTGTGGAAAAAAAATGGACTGGGAATAAAGATGTAACTGGTGAGCTGTGAGCAAGCTGATGTGGGTGTCATTAAGCCAACAACAGTGGGCTGGTGAACATATGTGTGAATTGGGTTATTGAGGTGTGAAGACCAATCTCATGACTCAGTCTATCATTTGTTTTGCTTAGTGGAGACCATAGGTGCTTCAGATATTCATCACATAGTCTCTGCTCTCCTTCAGGAAATCCTCAAAAGAGTTCCAAGTAAAGGATCATTGAGCTGATAGAGTATTCAGCATCTTGTCAAACTCAAGTCACTTGTATACTCTCAAGCAAAGTGTGGTATGACATACTTCTGGGCAAGGGTATGTGCAGTGGTGATTTGAAGAATAAAGAAAGATGAACTAGATACACATATAACTATGGAACAACTTGAGTCATGATGTTGCATAAGCAAAAGTAATGTTAAAGTCTGACTTGTATACTGAATGAAGAGAAGGGGGAGACTGAGATGTTTGTTGGATAAAATGAAAATCATTAGTATGCTTGCCTAGACCTGGGCATCTGCTACAAAGACATGAGAGTAGTTCAAAAAAGAATTACCAAACTATACCTTTTCTCTGAAAATTCACTGTTGTATCTGGAAGAACTGCTTGGAGTGGATCATTTGAAACAA